CAGGTTCCACAATGCGCCCCCCTACCTGCCAACCCCCTCCCCCCCCCTCCCATGGAGAATGGCAAAAATGCAGACATTGCCAAGATCACTTGTACAAAACAAGCGGCAGTTTCCCTGCTGTACATTTAGCTCTGCTTGCCCAAAGCAGGAATAAATGTAGAAAACAACTACCCGCCCGGAACTGCATGTCCCGGGCATCAGGAAATATGAATTCCACTCCACTGCTGCCCCAAGGCCAGGCCTTGGTTGGCCTTGTGGGAAATCCGGCCCTGGTTATGAGACCCAGTGGTAGCCGTTGTCCTGCTATGAACATGTGCTGGCAGATTTGCAGCTACATTCTTTAAACCACAGGAATGTTGACAAAGCGAGTCAGACCTGTCTGGGTGTTGCTTGTGTTTTGGAAACTTCTGTTTTTTTAGTTACTTCCCCACAGAAACAGTTTAAACATGCTCCAACACATACATCTCAAGGGAAACTACGGAGGCAATATCACGCAACAGATAGAGGCCTGCAAAAGAGAAAGTCACAGATACATATTTGAACAGAAAATTAGATATCCAACATTTCACCTAACCCTGCTGTGCAGCCTGTTGTTCTATGTTTGATGTCATTTAAAGGGAACCTGTACTGTGACAAATATGCAGCTTGCCATTGCTGACCCTCTTTTGGAAATACATGGAAGCCAGAGGATTAGTATTATTATAATAAAGGATTTACACTTGTGCTCAAATGTTTGCATATATGGTAATATATGTACCATTTGTAAAGAAAACATGAGTGAGCATGCAAAACACATTTCTTTTATTTCTTATGAGATTCATATTGAACTGTAGGTCATAACAGAATGGCACAATTATAAAACAAAACATGGCAACAAATACATAGAAGTGAATTCATCAAAACTGGAGCACACAGAATCTGGGGCAGTTGCTCATAGTAACCAATCATCTTCTATCTTAAGTTTGTTCTGTTAAGATTTGGAAATGAAAGGTAGCAGCTGATTGGTTGCCATGACAACAGCTTCAGATTCTGTCTGCTCCAGTTTTGATAAATTCCCCTCATAAAATCAAATGACCCCTGCTCAAAAGTCTGCATACCCCTAGTTCTTATTGATTTGTATTGCCCCCTTTAGCATCAATGACACCGTGCAGTCTTTTGTAATAGTTGTCTATGAGGCCCATGCAGGTGGTATAGCTGCCCATTTGTCATGGTAAAATGCCTCCAGGTCATGCAAAGTCTTTGGTCGTCTTGCATGAACCACACGTTTAAGATCTTCCCAGAGTTGCTCGATGATATTAAGGTGAGGAGACAGTGATGGCACTCCAGAACCTTCACCTTTTTCTGCTGTAAGCACTAGAGGGTCAACTTGGCCTTGTGCTTAGGGTAATTGTGGTGCTGGAAAGTCCAAGAGAGTCCCATGTGCAGAAGAATGCTAATTGTGCCAGTATTTTCTGATAACATGCTCCATCAATTTTCACAAAATTCCCCGTGCCTTTGTTCAAGTATCGTTGTATTGTGCTCCTTGAAAAAACCACAGTCTTTTTTTCCAGAGCAATTTGTACTTCCCCTGAGGTTACCTGTGGGTTTTTCTTTGTATCCCAAACAATTTCTCTGGCAGTTGTGGCTGCAATCTTTCTTGGTCTACCTGACCTTGGCTTGGTATCAAGAGCTCCCCGAATTTTCCACCTCTTAATAAGTGATTGAACAGTACTGACTGGCATTTTCAAGGCTTTGGATATATTTTGATATCCTTTTTCCATCTTTTAGAAGTTCCATTACCTTGTTACGCAGGTCTTTTGACAATTGTTTTCCATAGGGAGGTACAGGCTGCTGCGCACAATTACATGCAGCACCTGTCCCTCCCGGGTTCGGGTCTTTGCGCAGACGTGCATGCCCCTGTTAATGAAACCTTGTATTTCAAGGTTTCGTTTATTTTTATGTGTTTTATTTACCCCACTGGAAGATTTCCCCTCACCTCCTGTTCTATGTTCTAGTGACAACTGTAAAATTATGGATTTCTAATCAGTTTTTTGGGGGGAATTGAAGACATCTGACCCTATCTGTTTTTCTGCAGTTGAGCGCCGGCGAAGATTTAATATCAACGACAGGATCAAAGAGCTCGGGGGCCTCATCCCAAAATCCAGCGACCCGTAAGTGTGTTCACCAACAGTCTCTCTTCAGTTTAGGGGACATGTCTGTCATATTTTAACAGTAATAAAGTGTAAAAAAAAAAAGTAGTATTAAAATAAGTAAGAGGATGTGCTGATAGCCTTTGAGCTTGTGTAAATGGCAAGAGTTTGAGATGTTTCTGAGATCATTAAGAATTTATTATCGGGTACATTTGCCCTACAGTTGACATCTTTCTGACAATTTCACCTGCTTCAAGTGTTTTTGCATTCCCATAGATTTGTATGGAAACACAAAATGCATTTGATGTGAACACAGACCATTAAAGACCAATTTAAAAGTTTGAAACCAATGTACTGTAACATATGCATCTACTTAATTATGCACATAGGGGCCGATTTTAAAGGAAAATGGATAACTCTATCCATTCTTTAATATAGTCCGCAGTATTTCACAATACCGTGGCCTGAATTTTGCAGCCTATTCATAAAATGTAGCCCATTCATAAAGCAGAGGAGAGATCTCAATGAATGGTTGAAAGTTGGTCATGTGACTCTGAGGTCTCTTCCTGGCTTTTTGTTTGCTTAAAAATCCTATTCATTTTTATTACTCTCCGCTGGCTTCAAACTCTTGAAGCCAAGAGAATGCACTGCAGGTTTGTAAACCATGACACTGCATTGTGCAAGTGCATTTTTTTTTTTAAAGCACCAATTTGGCCATGATAAAGTCATACGTTTGCTTTTTAAGGAGAACTATGAGGTGAGTGCTTTTCACTCATCCTCATAGTTCTAGCCGACCTGTTACAATGAGACTGTCACAGGTCGGCTCAGTAGATCGGGAAGTGAGCGAACACATACCGGCGTTCGCTTACTTCTCGATCCTGTCACGGCTCCCGTGACAAGGGAGGGACTGGATTCCCCGCTCCGATCCTCCAGCGCTGACTGGCGGAACGGACGGGGGCAGGTACAGCTGGCTCTGCCTCTAGTTAGGCAGAGCCAGCTGTCACTCACGCAGCTGGGCGGATCCAGACATAATTGTCGGGATCCGCTTCAGCATCTCAGTAGCTCGCGGTATACTGCGGCGTCTCAGTATACCGCTAGCTGCAGCTCGCGGTATACTGAGCTAAGGGTGACGGCAGGACGCTAGTTTGTGTCCTCCCGTTACCCTAAGGAGAACTATGGGGAAAAGCCCTAACCCCATAGTTCTCCTTTTAATGTTAATTTGGGGACACAAACCTTAATGAACACATAAGTTATCCCAGGGGTGCCCATTAGGTAGATCGTGATCTACCAGTAGCTCTCAAAGCTGATGCTGGTAGATCACGAAGGGTATGAATGGCGGCCACTTTCCATATTCTATTTTGGTATATTTATTTAGCTGTGCACCTGATTACCTATTAGCCTGAGCCTGCTGAGCCCAGCTCCCTGACACCTTTCTGGTGGATACTGGTAGTTGAAGTGCTATGTATTACATCAAAGAATATTAGTTTACACAGCCTGCTGCACTGCACTGTTTGCAAAATTCAGCAAGGTAATCCAGGAGAGAGAGCAAGGAGAGACAGCCAGGAAAGAGAGAGAGGAGAGACAGCCAGGGGAGAGAGCAAGGAGAGACAGCCAAGAGAGCGAAGAGAGACAGCCAGGAGAGAAAATGAGGAAAGACAGCCAGGAGAGAGAGTGAGGAGAGACAGCCAGGAGAGAGAGAGTGAGGGAGGTTTTTTTTTCGTTGGTAGATCTCATATAGCTCGTCATTTGAAAAGTAGATCTTAACACAAAAAATTGTGGGCACCCCTGAGTTATCCACTTAATACTTGGTGGTAAAGTCAATCTTTTCATTTTTTGTCAAGTTATGAGCATATTAGGGAGTGGTTAGTTCTCCTGTTGTTTTTTCTGCCTTTGTCCTTCTGACAAGATTTCTGTACACTTCCTGTCCCAGAAACTCAACAGAAATTGGTAGAAAATCCCCTCTTAGACAGTTATCAACGGAACAGCAGCCCCCATTGGAAGCTTACTCTCCTCCTGTTTCAGTGACAACTGTAAAATTTTGGATTTCCATATAAATTTTACCCTGGTGGTCACCAGGACAGATAGAGTGGATCTTTCCATTAGGAACACAGACAGCAATAAAAGCTTACATTGGTACTACCCTTCTCTGTTCCATCCAAAATGAGAAGAAGTTTTGGCTATAGGCAGTGGCGTAACAATCACCATAGCGACACAGGCGGCCGCTATGGGGCCCGGGCACAGGGGGGGGCCCGGCCAGGACATTTCTGATGCCCTGCGGGCCGCCTGGGTCGCTATGGCATCTCACGCTGCTGGCTGTCACTGAAGAGAAATGTGCCGCTGTTCAGATCACTGGCAGTGATCTGTGCTGCGGCGCGTTCCTCTCCACAGCAGCTGCTGAGTCAGTGAGAGCCAGCAGCGGCGGTGGAGGAGGAGGCGGAGCCCGGGGTTGGCATCAGAGGAGGAGGCAGGGCCCGGCGACGGTCAGAGGAGGCGGGGCTCATCACCGACGGTGGAGGAAGAGGAGGCGGACAGGTAAGGAGTGTGACCAGCCCACCTGAGGGTGACCCTGCAAAGCCCACCTTAGAGAGTCTATGGTGGTCTCTGCAGGGTCACCCGCAGGTGGGCTGTGTGGGATCTCAATTGGGCTCTGCAAGGGGTGTAACTAGAGACCAAAGGGGCCCCATACAAAATGTTGCTATGGGGCCCTCTGATTTCTAGTTATGCCCTTGGCTATGGGTATACTTTAATGAATTCTGGAGTTGGCATTGGCTGTGGACAGTGAAGGTGTTAAAGGATAAATGTTTCATATGATGCAGGATACAGCTTGTCTTGGCATCAGTCAACGTAGTTGAGCTCCATCCTGTGTTTATAGCTGTCATGTTAGTATTTCCTTTTAGACCTCTTCCTGATTCTTAGTTATCCTTTTCCCAGCCTCATATGTTTTTATATATTTCCTGTTTCCAGGGAACTGCGCTGGAATAAGGGTACCATCCTAAAGGCGTCTGTTGAGTACATCAGGAAGCTGCAGAAAGAACAGCAGCGAGTGCGGGAACTGGAAGGACGACAGCGCAAACTAGAGCATGTGAACCAGAGCTTGCTCCTGCGAGTACAGGTACCGTGCAGCATTATTTAGAGTGGCAAGGCAGTATTTTTAGTATGAAAATTAAGTTTTTTGCTAATTTAAAATTGTTTATTACCAATTAAGTACAAAATTGTTATTATAAGCTGTCACCAGTCAATTAAACTGTAAAGTGTTATTTACTAAGAATGATATTGGCAAAAAGAAAAAAAAACGCACTGTGACAAGGATAGGTCAGATGTCAGTAAAACACTATTGAATTCAGTAGCATAAAGGTGACCAAACACCTTCAACCCATAAACACTGCAAATGCGCAAACGAAAATCCGTTCTGTAGATCGACAAAATTCGGTGGGTTAGAATTGCTAACAAACGTTTTTGAAAAAGGACATTGGTCTTGCTTGATAGGCTATTTGAGCTAAAATCAAGAGAGGGTTCTTGGCAGCAACGAAAATCGCAAGGCGTACGGCCAGCTTTAGCATAGCTCCCAACTGTCCAGGATTTGAAGACACTGTCCCTCTTTCTGAACCAAATCCCTCTGGATCTCTTTCTTGAATGTGCTTCTGGAGTAGAGCTTTGTTTACATAAATGTAACTACCTGAGTTTATATTGCACTAACTTTTTTAAAATTCATCCTTCTGATTATTTTGTTGATTATTTTAAAATGTTACTATAAAGGAAAAGTAGCAGTGAAAAAAAGCTCCAGTGCGTTTAAGCGATCATTCTCATTATTTAATTCATCATGATCCATATCGCACCATCCCTTATGCTTGAGCAGGCTCTGGCTAGTGTTTGATGTGTATGGGTGGTGCTTTGTGTTATTTAATTTTTTTTTTTTTCACCTTTTACATAAGAATCACAAAATGACATCTCATTAACTTCTATAGCCGCTGGGGTATGGTGACATTCGGGAACATGAGGTTCTCTGTGAAAAAATGCAGCATGTCTGCACTTTTATGCAATGCACTGCAAGCCATCTCAACACAGTGTTCTGGTGGGAACAGGGCATATAGAAAAACATTTTTTCTATGTACCCTGGCACTGAGCCTGAATTGATTTGTGCAGATCTACACAGCTAGACTGATGTGGTGAGAACTAGCTCTCAGGGTGTGGCAGTAATGTGTTAATCTGTTCTAAAAGGTGTCCCTCTTTCCCATCTCAGAAGGTTGGGAGGTATATGTCTGACTGACTTGTCAAAGTCAATGGTAATTCTTTCTTCCTTTTTGGTTGATCTATGCTCCAGAGTAGATGACAGTGTACAAAGGACCCAGAAGGTCTGCAGAGGATTTAAGGGCAGACAGTGACATCAATAAGAAGGATAGAAAGTGCTGCTTCTAATGGAAACATAAAGACCAACTTCAGCTAAAACGTTTAAACTTTTAATTTTCAAACTTTTGTCTTTTTTCATTTTGTACAGAGCAGAGAAGGGATAGAACCACCATCAGGTTTTTGTCTGTACCCTCAGTGGGGAGATTTCCCTTCACTTCCTGATTGGGACAGAAAATGCTGGGACTTCTCTCCAGTAAGAACACAGAATACTCAAACACTCTTTTCAGTCGCATGGTGTAGAGTAAAGCTGTCCATACACCTATAGATTATCTGCAGATTCTCTAAGCTCAGATGGAAAAAGTGCAACAGATTCCTCCATCTACACTAAACTCTGTGGATGAAGGAATCTCCCACTGGGCCAAGCTTCAGTGTCTTGCTAGTCGGCCCCACTGGCTCTCAAAATACCTGAACAATGCCTGCACCCAATCAGATTGTTCAGGTATTTTGCCCAGATTGGTTTTGTTTTGCTTTCCTCTGGGCTATAAATGCTGTAGTTTGTGAGAGGATGAACTTGATGGACTGGAACCTTTTTACATCCTAGCTAACTAGGTAACTGCTTTTGTTATTTTTGTCTTTGCAGGAGTTGGAGATGCAGGCTCAGCTACACGGATTTACAGGCAATCAACAAGCCGTGATTCCCACGGATGTTCTCAAGACGGAACACCTCTCTGGAATCATTTCCACCTTCGGGTCTCTGGCCACCCAACAGCAACCTCTGGACCCCTCCACTCTAGATCTTGGAACACTGCACTTCTCGGAGCATCTGACTGACTTTGTCGATCACAGCCTGGGTTTTGATTTGAGTTTGACTGGAGATTCTGCCATTGCAGATATACTTATGGATGACGCTCTGTCGCCACTGGGAGGAGCTGACCCCCTCCTTTCTTCCGTCTCACCCGGAGCCTCCAAAACCAGCAGCCGCCACAGTAGCTTTAGTATGGAAGACGATTGCTGATTAGGCAAAGTGTGACCCTATCCAATGGACTACTGCAGCATCCTCCGTTTAAGACTGTATCAACAGACGCCAATTCCCTCACCAGACTCACATATTTATGGTTCCCAGCTGACTTCCAGAGCTGAACTTTGGTCACACAACTGAGTGCCTGTCTTCACCCTTAAACGAGCATTGCTTGCTTTGCAGGGGCCTTGACTGTTTTGTGGGGAGGAGGGACAAATAGAACATGCTTATAGAGAAAACATTAATGGATACTTAGAGAATACCTATTCTTATAACTTTGATACTTATGAAAGCCAGTTTATATCGAACCCCCCAGGCCAGTGATTGGACTACTGTGAAGTGTGACTGAGCTTGGATTGTGAGATTCAGTATGGAGTCGGGTAATGAGCATTGGCTGAGTTTAAGTCTGGAAACAGAGAAACATTGTGTCCTGTGGTTAGCAGCAGGTGAAATGAGCAAGATGGTGTCTTTAGTGAGAGTGTGTGGTTCATAAGATGGTGCCAGGTTATGAGAAGAGTAGGAACATATCAATGACCCTAAAGAAGCAAAGGCAGAAAAACAAGATGGAAGTGTATTATAGCGTGGGATGCTAAGTCAGAGAATATTACGTAGCTAGCAAAAACCTAGACTGGTGAGTGAGCAAAATGCATGCAACACAAGATGGAGTCTTGGAACAGAAAACAGTATAAATGAAATGGAGTTTAGTATTAACTAGTAGGTGTTTGCAAGCATGAATGAGAAAGGAAATACAGATGATAGTGCCCAGTGATGATGGTTACCATGATACCCCATAATAAGCAAAGGGTTCAATAGACAAAATGGTGTCGAGTAGTTGGATGGGAACACAACAAGGTAAGCTAGAAGTAAGTGTGATATACAAATCAGTGACCAATTAAAACTCCCATTACCACCTAGAGGAGAAGTGACAACATGGGGTAGAAACAAGGGAGAAAGAAAGTCTACATATCTAATATATCATCTGCAGAGAACTGAAAAGTAGAGCATTGGGCAAAAAGCAAACACGATGGTTTCAGAGAAGCACAGATGATGTGAGTCATAACTTTATGATTACTGTGAAAAAATTGTGGTTTTTGGTGAAAATCATAACTCTTTCACAGCAGGAAAGTGAACTCTCTCACCATGCCAGGATAAACTTGGGATTGTTGACTTCCTCCTAGCTAGAGTCAAGGGCATGGGCCTGGGAAGCATCCCATCATTCAATTTTTTGGGACCCGAGGTCACTGAGGTAAAGGACAGGGGCACCCCACAGGCCTGGTATCACCCAGAGCGTGTACCGGGTGAAACCCCACCGTGACGTCATCGCGCATGTGTGGCCATCTTGGTGATACCTGCCGGCAGCCATCTTGGTGAAGGATGCCGCAAGAGAAGAGAGGGGACGTATTTTATGTGCTCATTTTTTATTATTTTTCAAGAGGTGGAATTTCCCTTTTATATACCTCCAACCAAAGATTTTTTGTAGTTTTGGATAGAGCAGGGAAGGGTTAGATCCCCTGTCTGGTTTTCAATGCTGTCTGAAGTCTCATTGTTAAGATTTCCTCTTACTTTCCACTCCGTGGACAACTTTATCCAGGCAAGAATTGGGGTAAAATATGCAAAGGTGACACAGACAACATTACAAAGCTAATTGGAGTTCTAACCTTCCCCTGCGCCAGTAAAAGAGTCTTACATTGTTGTGTCCCTGTTGGACTTTTCCTATAACATCCTGTCCCTGTTACACATTTGTCACCAGGACAGGTAATGAGTGGAAATCACACAGCGGGAACAGTAAACACCTAAAAGAGGTACTAACCTCTTTCTTACTCTATCCACAACTAAGCTAAAATATGCCTGGAGATATACTTTAAGTATACAGATGCTAATAATGTGAGTTTTAGAAATGTCCCAATTAGGAGACACAAGTTCCTATTTTACAGAGCGGTTGGCATGTGCCAGTGTTTTGGGTTGCATAAGAAGTAGAGCACTTATATTGCTAAATGTTAAAAGGGTGTGAATGTGAGTGTGGATGTCATGTAGTGAATGGCGGAGCATGGAAAGTGTATGTCGGAGTGGGATTTGTTTTTTTACGTTGTTTGTTGCCCATAGCAATCAGATTCCAGCTTTCCCTCTTGCGGTGCAAGAAAATGAGAATGAATAAACATGCTAACAGTTTATTTTCTGCATTTAGAAGATGAGACATCATTGGAGGCTTTAGGAAATGGCTTGTTTGCTGCTCTATCTATGCATCCGACCCAGTGAGGGGGATTCACAAAGAACAATGCAATGTGAATCCATCCCAAATATGTATAATACTTTACGTAGACAAAACATGCCATTTCTTTTGCACCTAATCTAATTCAGAGGATCTGCACATAATCTGAATGTGCCTGGAGGTTTGTTTTACATTTGTAATGTAATCCTATAAAAAAAATATCCGCTTTTGGTTGTAGAACTTGCAAGCAGTAGGAATGATCATCAAGTGGTGAAAAAACGGGCTCCTTTATAGTTCCGCAACTGAAGTGGACCTAGCATCAGATATATGTGAAAGTAATGGGTATGTGAAAGACTTGGGGCCCATTCACACCAGTTAGGTTAGTTGCAGAGAGTTTAACACATGCTATGTTGCCTGTCAATATGCGTTGTATTAAGACATTTGAATAGGCCGCCTGATGCACCAAACCTGCAAGCTTGGGGTGCCAGGTAAAATGAATGGCACTGTAGTGCACCAACACAGGTAACATGAATAGGCCCCAAGATATTTATAACTTATTACAGAAATCACAGCGCTCCCCCTGACAATAACTTTGTGCTTATCTCTCCAGAAAGACTGAGCCACGTTTGTTCAGGCATCAGTCAAGGTCAGCATCCATCCCTCTGGACTGATATGCCGCTTTAGAGCTGTAAATCTTGGTGCCTGTGCAGTTCTTGGTTGTGGTCACAATGTCTAAGGCTGGCCATTTACTGTTAAAGGAGATCTATGGGGTCAGGGCTTTTCCCCATAGTTCTCCTTAAGGTAACGGGAGGACACAAACTAGCGTCCTCCCGTTACCCTAAGCTCAGTATACCGCGAGCTGTAGCTCGCGGTATACTGAGACGCCGGAGCGGATCCCGACGTAGCTGTCGAGATCCGCCCAGCTGCGTGAGTGACAGCTGGCTCTGCCTATCTAGAGGCAGAGCCATCTGTACCCGCCCCCTCCCCCGTCCGTTCCGCCAATCAGCGCTGGCAGATCGGAGCGGGGAGAGGGGAATCCAGCCCTCCCCCTGTCACGGCAGAGAGCCGTAACAGGATCGAGAGGTGAGCGAACCTGGTATGTGTTCGCTCACCTCCCGATCTACTGAGCCGACCTGTGACAGTCTCATTGTCACAGGTCGGCTAGAACTATGAGGTGAGTGGAAATCACTCATCTCATAGTTCTCCTTTTTAATATTTCAGCCAATACACAATAATTGGATAACATTCTAATAGCGGGTGGCCTTGCGTAATCAACTATTATAAAAAGAGAAGGGCCGAAAAGTTTCTGCTCAACAGTGACTGCAGGCACTCAGCTCCAGCCACTGTTCATGCATTCTGACAGTGACACGCGCCAGCCACAGCGTGGATGTAGGAAGCAGTTAGGTTTTTGCTCGTTCAGCCTAGTGCACTACTAGTGACAGATCAACTCCTGCTGAAACCTCTCACCCTGAGACTTGTCTAATGATTGGGGAAAGGGAAACTGAACAAATGCTTCCTCCTGCCTGCAGCAGACTGTTGACGACATGGCAGCCTTGGCAAAGTCCCAGTACAGGAACTTGAGGACTACTTTTTAACTATGAGAGGATAGCATTTCTGCAGAAAAACAACACTGTTGCTGTATAGCATAGCATGCCTGGAATTTGTTCATGTATTACGGCATATTGGAACATGTCAGGAATGTATTCCTGTGGACTTGTAAAGCTAATGACAGGTTCACTTTAATTGTAGTCACAAGCTATAGTGTAGCTTGTGCTCTGCCTGTTTCATCCCTCAATGACTGACATTGGGAATTCTCTGATCAACCATGAACAATTCTGGTAGTGCCATTGTATGATAATAATGTGCTTTAGTGTCTGTGTTGATGGGCTTCTGTTTACTTGTTTTGTGTTCCCATACAGGTCTATGGGATGCAAAACCCAATCAAAGCAGGGCAGAAGGAGGCCCATTGCAGGTCAATGAATTCTGAATGATCTCAGAAGCCATCGACACAAGCCTAAAACCCATCAACACAGACCCTTAGTCATAGATTATGATGGTTATAAATAAAATGGCACCTAGGCCAGACCAGGCAATAGAAGCTGAGACTGATTGCTATAGGATTGGCATGAGAACTATGAGTGTCTGTGAAGTCGCCATTCTGTGTGTGGAAGAGTATGAGCTGCTGTGCTAAAGAGTTCAGCGAGCGGACATGTGAAGAGTGCGAATGCGATGGCGTGTCAGACTAGGACACAGAGCCACGGACCTATTATTTAAGGGATATGTGTCACAAAGCACCTGTTTTACCTGTGTGAGAAGTCTTGGATTGTAGCTTCCATTTTGCAACCCTGCGATCTGTGCCCGATTTGTGTGGCAATGGCATCAGTGTCCAGCCCGTGGTTGGGGAATGGCTGCTTGCATCTGAGCCTTTTCACACAGGCATTAGGCTTTTATGACAGATTGCATTTAGAAAGGCAAAGAGCAATGTGCAAAGTGAAATAACCCACAGCGACCAATCGGCTGATTGAATTAGAGATTGGTTGCCGGGGGTTAACGGCGCTCTGTATGTACTCATTGCTGTTTGCACAGCCTTATCGAATAGGCCCGCAAGAATATTTTAGGGGGGTATGGAGACAGGGCAGTGAGTGTATTGGGGTGCAGGTCTCATCCTATTTCCTCACTGAGTTTGTGTTTCTATATAGATCTTAAGAATCGTGTGTTTTCTATAATACAAACTACTAAATATAATAATGTACTTCCAATAAAACATTTTACACTCTCTACAAGCTCTGCTATGATTCTGTCGTGTGGCTGGGGGTGCATTTAGGTGAAACGTCCCAATGTGACCGTGGATAAAAGTGTTTTTCATGCCACGGACAGCCGACAAGTTAAAGAAGTTGTAAAGTCCCAGCAGATCCTGTCCTGTTATAACATATAAGGAATACAGACTATTGTAGTTTTTCATAATGCAATCACAGCTTACTTGTAAAAAATCCCTTTTATGTAGTGAGTGCTGCGTTCTGTCTGCCCATCACTTCCAACAACTTTCTGGATTCCCAGTGTGCTTTGCATCTCTTTCCCTGCTGCTTGATGTGATGCAATCTTGATTTCTCAAGACTACATATCCCATCATGCATTGCCTCCAGTAAGCAATAATAATGTTACATTGTTCAGACGCTAAGTTGTAGTTCAGAAGGCAGGCTCTGTGAGTGGTGACACGATGAAGTGCATATTCACAGGGCTGAGTGACATTGTGTCAGTGCATTGAGGAAGTACATCGTATGGAAATCTTCAATAAGTAAGTTTAGACATTTCTCAATGGGTATGGTTATTAGGAGTGGGATGGAACTGGATGGATGGATTGACTGGACTATAGTGGATGGAAATTCAATGTAGAAATACATATTTATGTTTAGTTTTTGGCCATAGATACCCTTTAACAGAAACTACTTCCCCCCCCCCCCCCATGCTGCTTTAAGGACTTACCTTAAATGATGCCTCTTCATCCGAACATCTTCTTCCTTCCACTTGTCTTCAGCAGTCCCTCCAGCACGGGTGCCGGTCTCTGGTCCAGCGCTGACTGCTGTGTCTTCTGTGTCTCTGTCTGACGTGCACGCTCATGGCTGCGTGCACTCAGCTCCATTGATTTTTGTCTCTTCTCCCCGCCGAAGATCTCTACCGTGCATGCGCCCGCCCCATCATCCTGCACGCCTGCTCAAGAATCTTCAGAAGGGAGCAAACGTTGGAGACAGCTGGGGCGGGAGGGGGCATGGCATTGCCATTCACATCAATGGCACTGCAAGAACGCCCCCCAACCGCAGTGCGATTGCCCGCACCAGAACACAAGGAACAAAAATGTCCTTTCCGGTGCAGTGCAATTGGAATAAATGCTACACACTATCTTTTCAAATCACACTGCACTGGAACGGAGGGTATTTCTGTACCTTGCGTTCCGATGCGGGCGATCACACTGCGGGTGGGGTGGGGGGCGTGCCTGCGGTGCACTTGACGTGAATGCCACTGCCACGCCCCCTCCTGCCCCTGCTGGCCTGATCTATGCGATCCAGTGCGTTCCGGGGTCGGACCACACCGGAAATCACTGGATATGGTGGGACTGGGCCCTCAGAGTCACCAATTTATTCAACTAAACTTCCCAAAAACCGCTTTTGAGCAGTCATACGCTTGAGGAAAAATTCAACGCATTCAGTCACACATTCCTTGTCACTTCCAACTGTAAGGACCCATTCACATTTATACACTGCGGTAACACATACCGTGCGTTGCCGTGCCATTCATTTAAACGGAACCCCAACACACTAATACAGTAATGGGCAGCACCCTGGCACTGCAGTGCACCACAATGCACAAATTGGTCATTTTGTTCTGGGCTTTTTCTTAGTGTGTTAGCAGCCCATTAAATATGAACGCACAATAACGGGCGTGCAATATCACAGTAACAGGAAGGGCCCTAAAAGATTCCTCCAAATTCTGGCTTTGAAAAGTAATGACTACTCTCTACACATTGATCCACCTGCCCAAACCGGTTATCACATACAGAAACCCAACCACTAAAATCTCCTATAAACTTTAACATATTGATGTTGTTTTAAAAGTCATTATCAGTATTTTTAATCTGCATCTTTTATGCAAATAATACCTGGTGATCCTGCCATGAAGGTCCTTGTTCTAGCACTTCCTGTTAAGGGGTGACAATACTTTCTCACAATTGTGTCTCCCGGTTGTGCTTCTGTATTATCACCCTGCCCCATGGACTTCCGAAGGGAACTGCAAGTGGCCATTTTAAGGTTGTCACCACCAGGAAACCTGACCTGAGAAATGCCTGCAGCCATTGTTGTAGTACATGCATCTAGACAGGAAGTGGCCACAAAGAGATAAGAATTGGGAGAGTCACCTGAACTCTGAGATAACACACAATGGTGCAGAGGACACAGGACAGCTCTGAATTTCTGACACGATCAACATGTTTTTTTGCACGTGGAACAAATAATAAAAGTTGTGTGCTCCAGGTGTGGGTGTTACCTAGGGTGGCCTGCATGCAAATACAGCCTGCCTAGGAGCTCCCACTTCTTCAGACTGACTCCCACTCAACAAGGCATTTTGATATTTGCATTACTCCTCCCAAAGGCCAGCCCATTGCTTGCATCAGGGCTGAGGGTTCTTGACAGAAGTACCGAGGCAGGTTGCCTGCCGAACCCTCCCTCCAACCATGATCTGCCTAAATTGCCTACAGAAGCACAGACATCCAGTGAGCGGTAGTTCTGGTATCAGGGGTAAGTATCAGAGCATTTGGGCGAGTACGAGTACTCAACCAAATACTTGGTATCGGCACTGATACCGTTACTAGTATCGGAACATCCCTACATTATACAGCAATGCAGAATACCATCAGCTATAGAGGACTACCAATCCCAGCAATATATTATACAGCAATGCAAAATACCATCAGCTATAGAGGACTACCAATCCCAGCAATATATTATACAGCAATGCAGAATACCACCAGCTATAGAGGACTACAAATCCCAGCAATACATTATACAGCAATGCAGAATACCATCAGCTATAGAGGACTACCAATCCCAGCAATACATTATACAGCAATGCAAAATACCAAAGCAGAGAGGTTAATGCTGTAAGAGACCAGCTTCTAGAGCAGTGGTTCTCAACCTGTGTAACCTCAGGACCTTACAAGAACTGGAGTGGATCCTCAGCCTGGGGTCCAGTGTGGGCTGCTGTGCTGTGACAGAGCTTCATCCATATGTGCAATGCTTGTACACCTCCCTTTGCTTGTCCTATAGAGGTGACAGGAGCCAGAATGTGACATTACTCTGGTCCAGGCAACTAAACAGGACACATGAGGGAGCTGTACGTATGGATGCCGCTCCCTCGCGGCCATAGCCCCAGCCCATCCAACTTCAAGCTGACGCTCTGCACCGGGCAGCATATCTTAATTGACTGTTTGGCGCGCAAGAACTGACAGTGCTGCAAAAGGAGGAGGGCTGAGGAGCCTCTCACTTAGAAAAGTGGAAGGCATGATGTGGCGACCGACAGAACATGGAGTCGCGACCCACTTTTGGGTCACGACCCACCAGTTGAGAACCAAGGTTCTAGAGACATGTTCAGCAGGGACTCCCAATGATTCATGGAGTGGTGCTAGTTCCAGGGTGTGGGGCTCAGAGTGGGGAACTGATCAAAACTGGAGCAGACAGAATCTGGAGCAGTTGTCCATAGTAACCAATCAGCCTCTCTTTTAAGTTTGTTCAATTAAGCTTTGAGAATTAAAGACAGAATGTGATTGGTTGCCAAGAGCAACTGTTCCAGGTTCTGTATGAGCCAGTATTGATCAATTTCCCTCAATGTTGCTTGCAATGAGAGCCTAAAATAATGAGAATTTCATTTCAGAATTCATTGTATGGAACTTGTGCTCAGATTTTAAAACCAGGAACAGCTATTTAAAATCTGACATCTCTCTGGATTCAATATTTATGGCAACTTCATGAGTACCTAAGAGGCAATATTAGAGGCTATTGTTCATGACTGACGGAGGTCAGTTTTGGATATGACCACCAGGTGGCGAGCGTTGTCCTCTTTGCCTATCTATCTTATCGCCTGTGGAGTCGCTGGTGCAGCCGGGTTCCTGTTTATCACCGACTTCCTCTCTATGGTAGCAGCTGGACGAAACCATTGAGCAGAGCGGCGGGGGTGCAGTGCCGGTGTACCCGGAATCAGGCAGTAATATGGCGCAGGCTCTGTCAGAGGATGAGTTCCAGCGGATGCAGGTAACGGGAACCCGGGGGAGGAGGTGCAGCTGTAGGGTGACGTCACTCCCAGCTTTGCGGCTGACGTCATTTTGTGCCTGCAGACTGATGTTGGGGACTGTAAACATCTTCTTATATCTGTCATCCCCTTCCTGATAAGAGTGGAGGAGCCATGGGTGCCCAGGGAATGAATGGCAGGCGAGGATCCCCCCTGTGCTCTGCATCAACACCTGTCATGTGCCACTGTGCCAGTGATGTCATGTGCCACTGTGCCAGTGATGTCATGTGCCTCTGTGCCAGTGATGTCATGTGCCTTTGTGCCAGTGATGTCATCTGCCACTGCACCAGCACTGGTGATGGAATGTGCCACTGTGTCAGTGATGTCATGTGTCACTGCACCATCACTGATGATGTCATGTGTCCCTGTTCTAGTGTTGTCACTGCAGCCAATAATAGTGTTGTCAGATGTTCTGGTTCCGTGTGCTGGTGATGTCACCTGTCACTGCACTGTTCTGTATATTATCCCAAATAGTAATGTAGTGTGTTACTGCACCTGTAACACTGATGTCATTGTACCCCCAGCCCTGGTGCTGTCATGGGCCACTGTACCCCCAGGCCTGGTGCTGTCATGTGCCACTTTACCCCCAGCCCTGGTGCTGTCATGTGCCACTTTACCCCCAGCCCTGGTGCTGTCATGGGCCACTGTACCCCCAGCCCTGGTGCTGTCATGTGCCACTGTACCCCCAGCCCTGGTGCTGTCATGGGCCACTGTACCCCCAGGCCTGGTGCTGTCATGGGCCACTGTACCCCAGGCCTGGTGCTGTCATGGGCCACTGTACCCCAGGCCTGGTGCTGTCATGGGCCACTGTACCCCCAGCCCTATTGCTGTCATGGGCCACTGTACCCCCAGGCCCGGTGCTGTCATGGGCCACTGTACCCCCAGCGCTGTCATGGGCCACTGTTACAGTGATGCCATGTGTCACTGCACCAGCACTGTTGATGCCATGTGTCACTGCACCAGCACTGTTGATGTCATGTGTCACTGCACCAGCACGGTTGATGTCATGTGTCACTGCACCAGCACTGTTGATGTCATGTGTCACTGCAGCGGCTGATGTCAGAAGGCACCCTGGTTGAGAAAGGCTGATCTAGTACAATAGACCGGCAGTGTTTATGGCAGCCATGAAATGTGTTGTGGTGAATCCAGCGTTGGGAGCTGAGGCGCCATCAGGATGAATTCGATAAGCTTTTCCGGCAGCCTAAGGCACTGAATTATGAGCCATGTGACGGATGTTTTACATTTCATTGCACTGACATTTGGGCTGCTTATCCTGGTGTGAGCAGTACCAGCCTAGTGAAATGTGTGTTGTTGTATAGTTACATCTAAAGTGTCTGATGTATGACATGTGTGCTACAAGACGTCTGATTGCTCATTGGAGCCAGTCTGAATATTTGTGCCACTTTAACCCTGGAGTGCACAATAACAGTGGAATGTTGCTGGTTGATGTGGAGAACAAGATATTTTCTGTATCAGTCTGAGTTCACAAATCTAAGGTACCGGATAAAGACACTTAGGGGAATTTATCAAAGCTGGCAACCAATCAGCTTCTCTCTCCAGTTTGTTCAGCTATTGTTTGGGAAGTGAGCAGAAACATGCAGCCGATCCGCTCACTTCCCGTTCCTCTCCCTGGAGAGAGCTGTGACTGTTAGTCACCACTCCCCGCAGGGATTCCCCACCTCCCCTCTCCGATCCTCCAGCGCTGAATGGAGGAATGGACAAGGAGGGGGCGGGCACAGCTGGCTCTGCCTCTAGATAGGCAGAGCCCGCTGTCACTCATGCCGCAGGGTGGATCTCGACAGTATTGTCGGGATCCGGCCCGGCTGCGGCACTCTCAGTATGCCCGCGATATACTGAGCTTTGGGTCATGGGAGGAGGTTGGTATATGTCCTCCCGTGACCCTAAAGAGAACTATAGGGTAAAACACTTATCCTGTAGTTCTCTTTTCAATATAGGATGTGGTACTGGTAGTATAGGTCAAGAAGGTGCCAGTCAAAGTCTGTATGCAGCAAGTGTGACACAAGGTTCCCAGATATTTTAGAATTTTGGCATGGAGCCTTGAAGGTTTGCCATCAGCTTTTCATTAATCAGGGGCCAGTGCAGTCTGGATTTCACTACAAAAATGTGGAGAGTGTGAAACAGCCATGATTTAGCGATACTTTGTTTTGTGGCCGTTAGGACATTGGTCAGGAGTACAAATTGGTGTTTGGTAATGCTCTCAGGTCTTGGGTTGAGTAGTACCTGACAAGGGTTTTGGAAAGTGATTGGTGGAAAAGAATATGGCGTAAATGGGAAACCTAGTTCCAAAGTATTAGTACTATCAGGCAGGTCAACCAAATATGATCAACCAAGTATGAGTATGCCTAGTCCTGAGCAGCCAGCGAAGCAGTTTGGAGAATGGTCTGGAACTGCACAGGCTAGATGGCTGGGTACCAAGTACTATGCGAGCAGTAAATTGTAATCCATTTCTACAGCTAAGACATTGTGAGAGCAGAACTTGGTTGTGCTCCATATTTGTGACCTTCCAGTGTGCCCAAGCTCAGTTCTTAGATCCTTCTCCTACTGCCTTAAGTCATATTGAGGTGGTGGGGTACATTTGGATAGAAGCATTTTGTAGAGTAGGGACATCAGTTGCTGAAAGCGTGGTTAATCCCTGTATTTGGACTCAAATGGCATGAATGATAACCCATTGCTTGAGAGTTAGATGTTAAAGTAGCGCCATGGTTTGTGATAGGATTTCACCCCATCTGGAGCTAGAAGAGTTTAAATATTTGCTGTAAGGAAGGTAGATGTATAAGAGTTTGATGTCATAGCAATGGTCTGAGGAGCTGAATGACAGGTTAGCCTCATCTTCTCTAATGATTCTGTCATGGTAACAATCAAACATCATAGAGACTTGCAGAAGAGTAGAAGAGGCCTTAAGCATGATACTTCCAAAATATGCTAACACCTTCTTCTTTAAAAAGCCTAAAACCTTTTTTTTTTATTCATTGGAATGGAACCTCTGTACGTTTCTTCAGAGACATAACAGAAAGTAAGGGGAAAATCTCCTCCTTCCTGTCTTAGATGGGGTGAATCTTCCCAGCCGGGGCAGAGATAAAACCTCTATTTCTGAACCTTATCCACCGTAGAGAAAGGACTGTGCATCTACAACAGACTCATTATGAGTCGAGACATCAAAGTGCCTCTCGCAGTGGACTGAAAACATCCATACAGAAACATGTGACCAGGCTATACATGTGACCAGGCCATACATGTGACCATACAGACTCTCATGTATTAAAGAGGAAGAATGAGCAGCAGGAAGAAGAAAAGGGAACCTGTCACTAGCACGCAGAACACAAACTGACATAAAGATGTGCTCAAGGTGCTGGTATATAGCACTGCTTGACACACCTAGGGCCATGTCTATTACACAAATTTCCACTTTCCTCTAAATCAGAGTTCAGGAAAGCACCATTATCCCACAATGCAATGCAGGCACCTTTGTATTCTGGGAATAAAGAAGCACGATGCAATTTGGTAAGAGCTTCGACACTAAGCAAAGTCAGTATTTGCATAGTGAGTGCTCCCTGGGTTCAAAGGCTTCAGAGGGCACAAGGAAGGGGGCTGCTGTATTGGTAGCAAAGCTCTATCACCCTTTTCGGTCAGGCTCACTTCAAAGACACAATTTTGTGTGTGTGTGTGTGTGTGTGTTAAAACATGTCAGGTTTGCATTGCTATCTCTGCCCCAGGTGGGAAGTTTTACTTTATTTCTGTAACAGAGCAGATAAGGTGGAATGCTACCCAAAATTTAAATTTTTTTGGACACGGTGTGGAAAAGTTAGAGCATGTGTTTTTAGTCTATATGTCCCTAAAGAAGTTCTCCTAGCAGTGATTGCTGCATTGATGACCACTGTCAATGAGATAGGGAGGAGTAGAGGAAATAGAGACAACAATAAAAACACATTTAGTTAGAGTGGGGATTGTTAGTAGACTGGTGGATCGGACTGTGGGGGACAGCTTCAGAGGCCGTGTCAATATTGCAGCCAGTGCTGCTTTTTTATTTCCAAAGAGCTGCTGAGGAATTTATTCTTTTATTTTGTGCCTAAGCTGGACTTGTGCTTTAAAGCAAACCTGTGCCTTAAGGCCTTCATGGCATCTCCACCATTGCTTCAATCTTAGTTGATTGCTCATTTAAAACTCCCTGCGTGTCTGTTATGCCTTTGGCCTTTAAATTGAATCCTCTTTCTCTTTTGTAACAGGCTCAGCTCCTGGATCTCAGGTCCCAAAACTATCAGCTGGCGGACAACTTGCGCAAAAACAACCAGGGTAAGAGCAGTAGGATCCCGCTCCTTCCCTACTCCCTCTGAATGTCCTTTACCAGCCTTTGTATTCACTTCTATGTCAGCAACTATTCTGGATGTCTTTGTCTTCTTCTACCATGAGATGGGAAGTTTTGTATCTCACAAAAATTTTTTTTTTTTAAATGTAATTCTCAGAGCTTGCATCTCTTCGCCAGAAGCAGACGACCCTAGAGAAAGATTTTGTGAAAGCTCAAAAGGTAAGGTAGCTTCCCAGCCCTCGGATAATAAAAAAAAAGCTAATTTAAACATAAAAAGAGAAAATGTAAAATAATCACTTAAATCGTGACTTTTGATATCCTAACCTAGGTGATATTGACATCAATGGGCCTTTTCAGGGGATCCTGGGAAAGCCGAGGATCTCAAATCCCAGTGCAATGCAGAGGCGCATTCCCGTGGAATTTGGCATCCTCAACTTTCCCAGCCTAGGCCAGTGTGCCAGAACGCTGGTGTAAGGTGAATATATTTTACGATAAAGATTTAAATTTACGTTTTGTATTCAATGCTGAAGGCTAGAAAATGGTGGGGCCTTTTTAAGTCTACTTTAGGCCTCATTCACATGGGGTGCGCTGCTCCTTACAGCGTGAAGGGCGTTCTTTTTTCTTATGCACCCGGATCTATGGGAAGAAGCATACTGGCAGCTAATGTAACGCTATGGAGATGCAGGAGATATGCACTCTCACATGGTGCTTTCCACAGCTCCTTGTTTTGACAGCTGCAAATAGATATGTATAGACCTAGATCCATCATGTCTGCGCCCAAGGTACTGGACTGGAACACAGGCACTAATGCAGGCGATCGCACTGTGGGCGAGGGGCCTGCCTGCGGAGCCTGGCTGTGGTGCCATTGACTTCAATGCACCGCCACGCCCCCTCCCGCCCCTGAATGCAGGTGTTTTTTCGTTGGTAGATCTCAATGAGCTCGTCATTTGAAAAGTAGATCTCCAGACGAAAAATAGTGGGCGCCCCTGCTGTACACCGTCTTTGTGTGGCTGTCAAATTCAGAGCTGCAGAAAGTAAAGTGTGAGGGTGCATAGCTCCTGTGTCTGCATACACATGAGCTCCCCGAGCGCTTCTTCCCACCACTCCAGGAGCATCAACAACCAGCCCTTCACGCTTTACAGAGCAACCCGCCCTATATGAATGAGGCCATAAAAGTGATTACCACCTTAAGAGGATTTTAATCTGTAAAACTGTACAATGTGATGTTTATGTGCAATCACACCACACGCACTGGGGTTGATTTACCACAGAAGTAGAGTATGTTAACTTTCAAAGGGAATTTTTAACTTTAGTGAATGAGATAAACAAACAAAGTAAAATGTTAATCTTTCAAAGAATACCCAATCATGAGCAAGAAGAATGCAGGGATTTTTGCTCACTTGTGATTGAATGGCTGCAGTCAGCACAACCTCACCTCGTTTATTATGCTTTGTTTCTCTTTTCAAAGTGAATTTCCGCTTAACTTAATGAAAAAAATCGAAGTTGTTTTGTCTACAATCATCAAATCTTATGTGATCAAAAATCCTTGGACTGAGAATGGTGTTTGGTTAACTCTATGTCTATTAACAAAATTAAATAAAGCAGAGAGAGGCACAGAAGAGGCTTTTCTGGCTTAGAGGTGTAGTGACAGGAAACATGTTTTATATTCTGTTAGGCAGGGTTTAAAATAGAATACAGGTTTCCTGTACAACAAAAAAAAAGCATACTGTACATAGAGCAAGGACTTTCTTTTCATAGACTACACACATTTCTTAAATGTTACTCTATGTGCATTCTCTGTTGAGGCCTCTGGTTTCTTATGAGTGTTGCTAATTTCTTCACAGGCACTCAGCAAGAGCAAGAAAGCCCAGGTAAGATGGGAACTCTTAGATCTTTCATTCAGTACTTAGAAATGCATCATGCAGTGTCTGTGTACCAGCTGATGTTGAGGAAACGTGTATATGCTCTAACAGGAGCAGGAAAGAAGGCTTTGCACCTTTTAGGTTAGGTTGAAAGGATGATATGAATGCTTACATCATAGTACATATGCATGCTTATACTTTTCAGAGGTCCGATATTGTTCTATGTACAATCCTTGTTTTATTGTTTGCATGCAATATTCTAATTTTCTGAGATTGTGGATTTGGGTTTTCATGAGCTGTAAGCCATAATCATCACCTGTATATCAAAATCCTCTATTTAGGGAAAAACTCTCCTTGCAATGGAGCAACCCTCGCACTTCAAGGGTGTTAGCTTTTCGTTCATGTTTAGGGGTATTGTGTTAAGGACTTTTACTTGCCTCATCCCTGATCCCCCTAGCAGTCAGCGTTCATCTCCTTCCCCTATGCTCCGGCTTGTCAACTTTCCCTCAGTGTCCTCCCTTTATAATGCAGGGCTATGGGCCCTGCATTGTATGCGACAACATCTAGCGGGCCCATAGTGGAGGGGGTAGAGACTGCTGATGTCAGTACTGGAGCCAGCAGGAGTGGGGATCAGGTGAGTAAACGTTTTTTACACAATACCCAGTAAGTGGACTGATGGTGGTATTCATATTGATCTAGTGCCCACTTACAAAAATAAGCAGTTAACCCTTGCAGTGCAGGGGAAGCCCCACTGCAAGGGGAGCTTTTATATAGGTTACAGATATAGATAGTGTCCACAGCGCTCAGCAAACCAATGCAGGGTAATCTTTCACAATCTTCACCACCAGTCACTTGAGGGAGGCTACCGTCCACAAAGACAGCTGGGAAGTATCCTCATGAATCATGCAAAGAAACAAACAAAAAGGACAGCGCCCTTTCCTTATGTGATACCATTTATTAAATGCAAAATATATGTAGAGATTAAAAAAAAAACTACTCGCATATACAAGATGGAGACAAGCGATGTAAGACACCATACATGCAGGGTAGAGCCAAAGGTGCTGAACCGTTTCGGGGGAGCGCCCCCCTTCCAGGTGCTTTCGATTTATATAGGATAGCATGTGACCTTCTTACCTTCCTGCCACTATTCAGTGCACAGCGCAAGGCCTGAGCATTATCTTCTGGAAGTCCTTAGTACTGTGTAAGCTCTGATACAAGTCTGCATGGAGCAAACACAGGACTTTCTACAGTACTCGGCACTCCAGCAGGCAAAAGGGGCGGCAAGAGAACACTTTGAAGGCTGGCTACAAAAATAACTTTTTTTCTTTTCTATGTATGGGCGAGATGATCGGTGTAACTTAAAGATGATGCTTCTGAAATGCACTAAAACCTTTGTCGCTTGAAGAACCAAGCAGGGCACGCGCGCGTGCGTTTTTGTGCAGTTGCTGCTTTTACTAGATCAGTTCCACCTTCACTGTAGTCTGTCATATAGGAAATAGTATTGCGTTCATCTGTCTAGTGCCCACTAGTCTGTGTACTGAGATGTGTGAATCAAGCAGATTGATTGATATGCAAGGTGGGCACCTGTTTTCTCTCACTGCAGGAAGTGGAAGCCTTGCTGGGTGAGAATGAGATGCTTCAGGGAAAGTTGCATAGTCAGGAGGATGACTTCCGGTTACAGAATAGCACACTGATGCAGGAACTGTCCAAGGTCAGTAGATGTAGAACCTCTAAGCTTCTTTTTGTGTCTCTTTCTTGCTCTTTCCACACTTTCTTTTTGTGTTTGCAGCTTTGCTCCCAGATTGAGCAGCTGGAGGTCGAAAACCAGCAGCTGAAGGAGGACAGTCGTTCTCCAGATGGCATCCCTGGTGTTACAGAGGGTGAAATGAGACGGCTGCAGGCGGAGAACACAGCACTACAGAGGACTATTGGATGTATGAGATGCAGAGCACAATTCTCTGTTCATTTATTTTTCTTGTTTGTTGTATACACTAGAAGTGTTAAGTTCTGAAGAACCGTGGTTATTTGGCAGGATTATTCTGACCTATGCAAAGGGATGTAAATGTAAATAAGTTGTTTTTTGAAAAGCATTTGTTATACGGAACCTTACACATAGCTCTTTGCGTTAGTAATTAACGCATATGTATCTGAAGTTTGACAATGGAGAGCAAAGCAACAGACAGACTTTGTCTTGTGTCCCCCCCCATTTTTTTCGATCCCCCGCCACATTGTTACTTGGTGATTGGCCCAGCACTGTCACCTGAGGTTGGAGAGACCAGTTCTGTGTGATCTCTGACTAGAGTGACTTAGAGCCTATACAGGGCTATCCTTTCCTCACACTGGTGGAGCAGCAATAAAGCAAACTGGTTGCTTTGCCCAGGTTTGCTTTAGTTTGAAAGAGGTAAACTGACTGCTATAAACAAAAGCAGGCATATAGAGGTGCCTTTGCATATTCTTTTGAACTGTTCCAAGGGCACTAAATGCCAGGGTGCTGTATTATGTAATTTCAGTTACTGCAGATAGGCTCAGGACTGCCCCGGAGGAATGCCTCCCTGTTGGTGTGGTAAGGTCACTTGTCAAAGTTTAGGACCAGTAGGGAGGTAGAAGAAGCAGAGCTATATTCAGCTTCAGAAAATGAAGTTTGACTTTGCTGCAGGGTGCTTTGGAAGTCATTTCTGGGGGTTTACTTGTTTTAAGCTGCCAATTACCTACCTTCTCTGTAAGTACAAGGCACTCTTACCATGAGCCCGTTCTGTCACCATCATTGATATTTGTTTGTTCTTCTATAGTGAACATGGGTTGTCTTTCTATGTTTCTACCTTCATTCCTGATCTCTGTTTTTCAGCACTTCATGAGCGTCATGAAATGGAGATTGCTTCACTGAGGGGCCAAGAATCCCAAGCTAATGGGCTTCGCAGCTCAGACACAGAGACAGGGGACGAAGTGCCAGTCAATCAAGTGGATGGGCAGGTCTCACAAGAGCAGGTGACCTATCATAATCACTCCACACTACTCTTATAGTAATTGGACGCATTAGAAAACGAAAGGTTAGCAATACATCTGTGTAAAGATTAGGTTTCAGGCAATATGCCTGTCACTTTACACAAGACAAGTCAAGCTCAAATGAAACAGAAGGCTGAATTTGGTAGAAATAATATTTAAGGGTCACATTATGTCTACTAAGGGTCGCTTACTTATTTCCATGAAAGCACATCATTATTTGACATTTTGTAAAAACATTTTATCCCGGCAAAGGGGCATTATTATCACTCCCTAAAGTATTGAACTGCAAACCTATAAATAAAATGCTTATCAATTGGAAAATCACTGGGGCCTCTTTCAGCTTACATTCTTAAAGGATTTCTGGGATATGTGGTTCTGTTTCAGATAAAGAGCCCCAGTTGACAAGACTGTTATTTTGTAAACCTTATTTTTGGCAGCTATTTGCTGGATCTCAGTGGCACAGTTATTTCATGTCTGCCTTTTTTTCAGGATGGTGAGCCGCCAAAGAGCTGGAAGCCAAAAGAGGATAATCTTCAAGGTCAGTGCATTTACAGGCAAAACATCTTATAGGCCCTGTACTGTGGGCTACAATAAATCCAGGACTGTCATCGTGTCTTTCTAGTAGCTGCTAACGCTTCCTCTATAGATGTATTTGGATAAGACTGGGATCTCAGTCTGCTGCCAATTTATAGGAGGATTAACGTGGCAGGAACCCACGTGAGACCGGGATCTCAGTCTGCTTCCAAGTTATGGGAGGATTAATGATGGCAAGAACCCAAAGGCAGAGCTGTTTTTATTGCCTATAGCAGTGGTAGTCAAACCCTGGCCCTCCAGCTGCTTTGGAACAGCAAGTCCCATAAGGCATTGCAAGACTCTGATAGGCATATGTCCCAGAGGCATTATGGGATTTGTAGTTTTACCACAGCTGGAGGGCTGACATTTGGCTACCCCTGGCCTATAGCAACCTGATGCTGCCTCTCATTCGTAGTTGCACTAGATCAATATGAATACCACCATCTGTCCACTTACTGGTTATGTAGAAGGTTACATAGTGCTCTCTGTGCTGAAACTGTTTAGAATGGGTTAGGATGTCCTCTTGCTTAATGCTTCTAGCTTGAGATGCTTACAGGTGGAATTTCTGCGTCTTTTCAGGTATTACACTTGAACTAGCAACACAGACGGAGGAGAACAAGTTGTTAAAGGAAAAGATTCTCACATTACAGGTGAGTGATTGTCAAATACAAAAAACTGAGGCTACATGTGGGGAGGGCTGTAGTTGTTGGTAGGTTGGCTGTACACAGGACCGCCCCTGTGAGTTATAAGCTGGTGGTTCCCCTTAGATGTTTCTGGCTTGGCGTACCAGCAACAGTCTGTGAATATAACAATAAAAAATTAAAGATGCAATGTTGAATATTGGAGGCAGGGTCTTGTCAGCTTTATATACATAGCACCACAAGTCCACGTTTCTAAGGCGAAGACCATGGTTGTGCGTTTTTCAGGCTTATGTCTACATTGTGCGTTTTTTGTTTGTGTTGGGAGGATTATTAGGGACATTGGACTATTCTGTTTATACATATAAATTGTCTCAGAGCACAAACTTTCATGGTGTTATGTCATGCTTTTACTATTAAAAAATACAAAACAAAACACAAGATTGTACATTTTTTTTGGCTGAGATTGTCTGACATACACCCAAAGAAGAACTCTGGGCATAATATTCTTGGCACCTGCAGTGGGGTTACCCCTGCACTGCAAAGCTGAAGTGCTCATTTTTTGCAGGCAGCCTTTAATGTGCGGACCTGATGGAGCCTAACCACAGGTCTGCTCTCTGTATAGACCATGTGCAGCACTGTGATGATGTCATTGATACTTTTACAAGGTAATACTAGATTTGTAAAGGCATTTTGTGCACACAAAGTGGATTTATATCCTTTGTGACTGTTGAGGAGTATAATTAAATGAGAGTTTTTGTGTCAGTTCAGCTTGAACTTTAAAGGTGCATTTTGTGCCATGAAAAGATCCTCTAAAGCAGGGGTGCCCATTAGGTAGATCGAGATTTACCAGTAGATCGCAAAGCGAACACTGGTAGATCGCGATCGGCTCACTGACCTGTGTCCCGCAGTGCTCATGCGGCTGAATGTGTCAAATGCCGCTGACGGGATGGAGAGAGGAGAGGAGACTTGGGAAGCTGCTGCAGTGGAGGTAAGAAAAGACTGACAGGAGAGAGACATCAGAGAAAGTGAGAGAAGAGACAGCAGAGAAAGTGAGAGAAGAGACAGCAGAGAAAGTGAGAGAAGAGACAGCAGATAGAAACAGGGGAGAGAGAGAAAAGAGGGCCGGTTCACACCACAAAGTCTGCGTTCCAGAGTGTTCGGCCTCTAGAACTCATTGGAACGCAAACCGGCCGGCTCCTTGCGTTCAGAGGCGGGAGGGGGCGTGGCAGTGCATTGAAGTCAAAGGCACCACAGCCACGCCCCCCACCCTCAGTGTGATCGCCCGCACACGGAACACAGGCACATTAATGCCTGCGTTCCGGTCCAGCGCGTTCTGCAAAAATGCAGCATTTTTGCAGATCGCACTGGACCAGAACGCAGGCACTAATGTGCCTGCATTCCTGGTGCGGTGATTGCACTGGGGGCATGGCTGCGTGCCATTGACTTCAATGCACTGCCACGCCCCCTCCCGCCCCTGAATGCAGGTGTTTTTTCGCTGGTAGATCTCATTGAGCTCATCATTTGAAAAGTAGATCTCCAGACGAAGAATTGTGGGCGCCCCTCCTCTAAAGCAAAGGTTCTTCAAATAGAATGAGGTTAGATCCCCATGCCTTCTAGTATTCTTGGCTTGTCTTTTATGTCTCATGCTATATATGTTTCTTGCACAGGGTGGGATCTCCCGGCTACAAGAGGAAAATTCAAAGGTAACAGAAATGGATAAACTGTAAAACAAACATATGCTTTGCTCATGCATGGTGAAACGACTTCTCTTTATTGACTTCTCCGCAGCAAAAAAAACGTTTTTTTCCTTTTGCTCCCCTGCCACTCCCCGTGTCTGCCAAGAGCAAGGAAAGGAAACACTGTGTAAGCTCCAAGTCAGTCTTGTCTGAGTGTGCTCTGGGCTAAGAATTCTGTTCCTGTCCCATACAACAGCTCTGGGTCAATGTCCAATCACTAGCACTGTTACAAGTGAAAAAGACCTCCATACCCAGAAATACGAGACATTTTCTTGTCTCTCTCTGTGAGGCTGAACTTAATATCTAGGGGCAGAATAAAGTTATAAGTGTGCTGCAGGGGGTCATTTGATCCGGTTTCTTTCCCTGCATGGGCAAGGCACAGATATGCTTACAAAACTAATCTAAGTGGGTTTTAATTCCCTCTTTATCTGTATGTTATCTGTCAGCTGTGCTAGTTCTTTGTTGCATGTGCCCGGTTATAATTCTGTTCTTCTTCTAACAGGTATCTGAGAAACTGAAGAAGAAACATGACAGGTGAGTAGGCACTAAATTAGAGAACAGATAACATATGAGGGGCTATATAGTGTTTCTATTTTGGACAGTTTGAACTGTTTGTCAGCAGTTATCTCTTTACACACTCAAAATTAAAGTGACACATAGGAGTTAAACTTTATTCAAGTACCTTAACTATTAACAAAAATGTATCTTATTTGTGCATCACTTGGATAGATCCTCAAATCATCTCTAAATTGGTGCTGACACTGTCCTTCCTTCTGAAGGGTGGTTAATTTTGTTCCCCATGGTCCCTGTGTGTGTTGTAAAGTAGCCACCGCTCCAAGCTCTCACCCGTGGTAGACTACAATCTACCGGTCAGAAGGGAAGCAGCAGATATGATTGCCACCTTTTCTTCAAGCGAAAACAGAACATTCTATTTTTTTGGGGGAGGAGAGACAGCCAGGAGAGAGAGCGAGGAGAGACAGCCAGGAGAGAGAGCGAGGAGAGACAGCCAGGAGAGAGAGCAGGGAGAGACAGCCAGGAGAGAGAGACACCGGGGAGAGACAGCCAGGAGAGAGAGC